GCGGTGGGAATTTCAGCACCAGACGACGGACAGCACCGCGCGGAAAGGACGGCTGGGAGGCGGGAGGAGGAGTCAGAATCCCGGAGCTCGCTAGGCCCCGCGGTCACTGCTCAGCCCAAGTTCCTACCGACAGCGCCTCCCCGTGCACCCCTCACCGCCACCTCTCCCGGACTCGGCGCCAGTACTGGGAGAAGAATGGAGGACGCGGAAGGAAAGCTAACACTGAGGAGAGGCAAAAGCCCGAGGGACAGGGCTTGATCACAGTTCCACCGTCCCAGTCTCTCTTGGAGTACGTCTCGCGAGTGAAACTTTCTTCCCGGGCTCCAGCCTCCGCCTGTTGTAGTCGTGGCAGGCCGAGCGTCAACTGCCCCACGGCGCAGGCGCGGAAATAATTATAACTTTAACCCATCTATTGGCTGCTCCGCCGCTAACTAACAAACCCACTATCCAATCCGAGAGAGGCTCCAATAGCTCCGCCTATCCCTCCTCCCGGAAGTTGATTACTGCCGAATCCGCTTCGGCGAAGGTGCACCAGCAGCCAATTGGGAGAGGGGAGGGGCGAGCCAGCGCTGCGGAGGAGCCAATGGCAGGCGGCAGAGGATGACGCCGCCGACATGGCTGCTGTCGTCGGACAGTTCGGGGACGTGTCGGGCTTCTCGGTAACCTCGATCGGTGCCCAGGGAACGGAGCAGCTGCCTCGCTAGTATTCGTACCACGAGGCGACTCAGCGGGCCCTCAGAGAGAGCGAGCATCGGGGCCATGGCTTATCACTCGGGCTACGGAGCCCACGGTGCGTGGGGCGCGGGGCGGGCGGGGCGCGGGCCGACCCGCCCGAGGACGGTCGGCGGCGCGGCCCGCTCACCCTGAGGGAGAGGGGCAGCCGTGACTGCTGCCCAGGGTGGCGGATGTCATTCGGATTCCTGCCCCGTAAGGCTCGGCCACGCGTCCCGGACTTCGCCCTCTCTGCCCAAACCCGAGATCAGATCGGGCGGTGATAGCACTGCTGGGATCTCCCGTGTCCGACTCGGGCATGAATGGGGTCTGCCTCCCAAACTTCCTTTCCCGGCCATGACCCTGGTAGGGTTCCTCACCAGTGCCTAGGGCCTCCGCGTTACCCAGCCGTCGCCTTTCCCACCCTTGTTCAATGTGGGGATATCCTCCCAGTTGTCTTCATCTAGCAAATTCAGTCTCCAAGATTCACTTCAGAGATCAGTTCCCTTGAGGAGGCCCCCAGGAACCTTCAGGTGGGCAACCACTTCCAGGGGCTGCCTCAGTTCTTTATTTACCCACATTTAGCACCTCTGGAAAAGAATCCCTCCTCACAGTTCTTTCTGGATGAGTTCTCCTCATCCAGCTAGTGCCCCTCACTGATTGTTTGGTGCTCCCAAGACCCATACAGGGCTGTCCAGCCAGGGGAAGAGGCGGTGGTTTGGGCTTATGCTTGGTATTCCTGTCACCTGCAAACCCACAGGTTCCAAGCACAGGGCCCGGGCAGCTCCGGATCCCCCTCCCCTCTTCGATGACACAAGTGGTGGTTACTCCAGCCAGCCAGGGGGCTACCCAGCCCCAGGAGCCGACGTGGCCTTCAATGTCAACCACTTGCTTGGGGACCCAATGGCCAACATGGCTATGGCCTATGGCAGCTCCATCGCATCCCATGGGAAGGACATGATGAACAAGGAGGTGTGGCCCACCCCCAGGGCAAGGGTGGCAGGATTTCTGGCCAGGGCTGGGGCATCACGGGATCCCACCTAATCCGCACAATGGCCTTCAGGGAAGGAGCAGACAGGAGCACCCTGAGGTTCTGGGTGCAGCTCGTCCACAGCCTCCTCTCTCCCCTCCTAGCTGCACCGTTTTGTGTCTGTGAACAAACTCAAGTATTTTTTCGCTGTGGACACAGCCTATGTGGCCAAGAAGCTAGGGCTGCTGGTCTTCCCCTACACACACCAGGTGAGCTGCCAACCAGAGGAGCTGTGATGGGCCCCCTTGCCTCCTGCCTCCTGCCCCAGATCTCAGCCCCCTCCTTTGCTCTCTTGTCTGCTCCTCCTCGCCTGGCCGCTGCTGCCACCTCCAGAACTGGGAAGTGCAGTACAATCGTGATGTGCCTCTGCCCCCACGGCAAGACCTCAACGCCCCCGATCTCTATATCCCCAGTGAGTCTTTGACTTGGGCTGGGGGATGTGGGCGGGGGGGTGGGGAATGGACTTGTGCCTTGAGGCACCAACGAGAAGAGACAGGCTCATGTGTTGGTTCAGCATCTGCTCTTGGTGATCTTGTGTGTGGCTTTTGTGGTGTCCCTAGACGCCAGGTAGACAGAGTGGGGTGACCAGCCGCTTCCTGGGTGTCCTCCCAGGATACTCCCCTTTGAGACCTCCCTGCCACCTGACCTGGACCACGTCCCTCCCCAGCATGGAGCCTGAGGTTTAGACCTGGCTCTGCAACTTCCAGCTATGGGACCTCAGGGGGCTCCTTTCACGCTTCTGAAAAAGCTGGAATAACAACAGTTCCTACCACAGAGAACTGTGGTGGACATTCAGTGAGGGGCTGTGTGTGCTCAGCCAGCACTGGGCACACGGGAAGCACAGAGGAACTATAAGCTGTTATCACTCTCCTACTTGTCCTCCAAGGCCTGCTCCAGCATCCCCTCCTCTGAGGACGTGGGCACTCCCTCTGGGTTCCCACAACCACCTGTCTACATGGCATGGGTCAGGCCGCCCACGCTGTGGCTGGCAGACTCCGCGTCTGACTCCTGTCTGTCTAGGCCCTGCATAAGGTCCGGCCCCTGGTGGACATGCTGGAGGAGGGGAGTATGCCCAGGCCGGCTCTCAGAAGGGCAGCCAGACAGCCCAGATACCCTGGGAGAGCCACAGTTCCTCTCCCCTCCTTCATTCCGTTTCCCACTCAGAGTCACCGTGTAAGGCAGGAACTGCCATCCCCGTTTTACACAGTGAAGCCAAGGTTCAGAGCGGTTTGAGCATCTTTGAGGACATGCAGCTTACAGGTGGTAGAGCTGATTTCCTGACTCTAGACACTATGCCCTCTTGTGGGTACATTAGTTCTAGGGCTATTAGGGGGCAGAGGACAGGACTGATGAGTTGAAATTGCTGTGAAAAGGCAGCTGCCATCTGAGCTTTTGTGAAAATAGCAGAGGTGACTTTGGCGCCTGAGGTAGTTTCTGAGACACAGCAGGAAGCTTTGGTGAGTTTCCTAGTATAGGAGAGGGCTTGGTGGTCCTGAGAAGGGTCAGGTAGCATTTACATAACAGGAGGCCTGAACAGGAAAAGGCATCCCAAGCAGGGTATTGGGGGTCTGAGGGCAGAGGTGAAGCATGTGGGGATATTCAGGGAAGGAAGTATGGGGGTGTCGTGGCTCTAATCCCTAGGGATGGGGTGTGGGGGCTCTGGTTGAGGAAACCAGGCTGATGGCATCTCTCTGGCTCTTGGCAGCAATGGCCTTCATCACCTATGTGCTGCTGGCTGGGATGGCACTGGGCATTCAGAAAAGGTCAGTGCCAACCCATCCCGATTCCCACAACTTCCCCACTCCTGACTCCTCTCCTCACCTCCCTGGGGGATCTGTGCCAGCTCCCAAGTCCGTCCGTGCCCCTAGTCTCACCCCTGCCCCAGGATGGCTGGTTCGGGACTCCCTTCACCCCCCACCCCCACGCGGCCGCAGGTTCTCCCCGGAGGTGCTGGGCCTGTGTGCGAGCACGGCGCTGGTGTGGGTTGTGATGGAAGTGCTGGCCCTGCTGCTGGGCGTCTACCTGGCCACCGTGCGCAGCGACCTGAGTACCTTCCACCTGCTGGCCTACAGCGGCTACAAATATGTGGGGTGAGCACCTGTGGGCTGAGCGGGAAGCCGCCCGCCGCCCGGGGTTCCGGGCCTGCCCAGTGGTAGCCTCGAACTGTGACTCTGGATCCCCTCTGCCCACCCAGCTCTTCTCTATTAGAGGGAGTGTCTGTTTTCAGGAGCCCGGTAGTGTTGCTCAGGTCGGGAATGGACTAGTCACCCAGGAGCTCAGGGGAGAAGGGTGAGCCGGGGTGGAGAAGGGGGTCTTGGATCCAGGTTCGACGACTGAGTCCTGGCCTTCCCGATTCATTCTGAGTCTAGGTCCCTGGTTGGGAGGGGGGTTGCAGATTGGGGGTAAAGGGCCCCAGTGATGGTAGCTGGGGTCTAGGCTGGGCTCTGAGGCAGTCTCAGGCCTGGACCCTCAGAGGTCTCCAGTCTTTCCTTCCTCCCTCCTGCCCCTGCCCCCTGTAGGATGATCCTCAGCGTCCTCACGGGCCTGCTCTTCGGCAGCGATGGCTACTACGTGGCACTGGCCTGGACTTCGTCTGCGCTCATGTACTTCATTGTGAGTCCGGGGCTGGCCCCTCTTTGCCTGGGGTCGGAGCTGAGGACAGGCCTCCCCCTCCCGGCCCAGCTTCAGCTTTCTCCTTTTTCCCAGGTGCGCTCTTTGAGAACAGCAGCCCTGGGACCCGACAGCATGGGCGGCCCGGCCCCCCGACAACGTCTTCAGCTCTACCTGACGCTAGGAGCTGCAGCCTTTCAGCCCCTTATCATATACTGGCTGACTTTCCACCTGGTCCGGTGACCCCCATCCCCACTGGCACTGATTTTTCCATACATTGAAGATTTGATTTCCTTGGTTCTTTTTGACCCTTGTTTCTGGGGCTTGTGGGGGTGATTTGCTAATACTTCTTGGTCTTTTCATTGGCCAGGGGACAGGGACCTCCACTTTTCTCGAAGGAGGGGGATCCAGGGAGGTCTTCCTGGAGTTGATGGCCTTGATACTGCCTCGGAAGCAGATGGAAGTGTTTCAACAGAAATAGTTATTTATATGTGCCTAGGAAAGTGAGGTGGAAGCAGGCAGCTGCTAAGGAGATCTTGAAGGCCTCTGATGCATCTGAGGAGGTCCTAGTAGGGTCTCTAGGCCAGTGGGGTGCTTCCCCCTCTTTCCCCCCATCTCCTCTTTAAGCCTTTTAGGAGCAGAACTGGGGCCCATGTGTTTGCAGTAGTTTATTCATATTTTGTCACAAATGGCCGGGGAGGGGGGTGCTGTACTCCTCCAGGCAACATAGAAAATAGGTCCAAGAGACTGGGTAGGCTGGGGCTGGGGCAAGTGGGGACAGGGAGGGGTCTGGAGAGAGCGCCTGGGGGGGAGAGGGCAGACTAGGGGTGGGGCTGCCCCCCTGCTGAGCCTGCTCATTCCCGGTGTGGGTACCCCCCCACCTGCAGGGGAGCCTCAAGGTGGGGGGTACAGGGGCGGCCCAGAACTTCCAGGGTCAAGCCCTGCCCCTTGGCAGGGCCTAAATTCCCCCTGAAGCGGACAAGGCCGGAGGTCCCACCCCTTCCAGGACTGACTGCCATGCCCACAGGCTGGCAGAGGAGCTCCTGTCCCTGTTGAGAGCTCTGCCCAGCCCTAGTCCAAGGGGAAGGGGCTCTGAAGGCGGGAAGTCCCCGCAGCAGCAGTTTGGGGGGTGGAGAGGAGGCTGGGGGCACCAGTGCCCCCTCCCTCCCCAGGGCTGAGGCCTCTGTGGCCCAGGGGCAGGGCTGGGGGTGCACAGGCGTCCGGTCCGTTCTGGGCTCTCTCCCTGGCCGGCTTCCCCCTTAGAAACTCACCAACGTATAAACCATACTGTGGGAAGACACGGCAGTGAGCCAAGTCACAAGCGCGCCTGGCTACCGGCCACCCACCCTGTCGCACCCCAGTTATCAAGGGCAAAGGGCAGGAACTTGGGGCCCAACCATCCCTGGGATTGGAGGGATGGTGCCTGGCACATCCCTTCCCTGACTTCTGACTGCAGCGGGCAGGGCCTCACCTGTACAGGTAATAGAAGAAGGAGAGCAGGTAGAAGGCGAGTTTGCACCAGGACTCCTTCTGGCAGTAGTTGAGGATGTCAGCATTCATGATGGAGACGGCGTCATACATGACCTCAGAGCCATCTGCAGGGCGGTGGAAGTACCTGGGGGAAGGAAGGGGTCTGAGTGCCCACCCTCAAGTCTCCCACCCACATCCTGCCAGCTCCCCCATTTCACCCTCCCAAAGGCTGTGGCTGCCCTCACCTCCAAAGGTGGTAGAAGAGGAGGGGGATGTTGAGGCCCAGGGTCACCCACTCAGCTGCACACAGAAACATCAGACAGAAGAGGCCGTGGATGGAGTATTCTGGGACCACCAGCTGGGGAGTGAGGGTGAGAGGTCAGCGGCCAGGTGCTAGGACAGATCCAAGCTTTAAGGGCCCTTGGGAGGGGCCCACCCACCATGGCCTCTGGGATTAAAAGGGCTTCTAGCCTTCCACTCCCTCCCACGTGGCACATCAGGCCAAACAGGCCGCAGAGGAGGAAGGCCTGGCTCTGGGTCACAGTGGGGCTGCGCTGGGTTAGGAGCCTCCCGCCCCTCGCCCTGACACTGACCTTCCTCAGGAGACAGCAAATGCGTTCGATATTTTTTAAACGCTCGCGCTGTAGGGGAGGAAAAGACAGCAATGGTGAACGTGAAGGAGCGGGCACTGGATGCGCCCCGCAGCACTCCCACGCCCCCCCCCCAACTCCCTGCACGTGGCCACAAGGGGGCGCCAGAGCAGGTTCTGCGGCCGCGCGGCAGGGAAGCAGCCGCGCGGTCCCCATAGCGACCGTCACCATGGAGGGATCTTCACCCGCGTCTCCACGGCAACGGCCCAGAGCCCGGCAACGGCTGCCCCTCCAGGAGGAACCCGAGCCCTGAGCCCGCGCCAGGTGTTTGCTGGGGGCGGGGACAGACAAGGGGAAGGGGCACGGCCACCGCCACCGCCCCCCACACACCCCCGTCTTCCCGTACCCCCGCCGCCCTCCACCCGCGACATATGGAAAGACAGACGGACGGACACACCTCAGCACAGCACATGTATCACTTACTGCCCGCGCTGGGTTGCCCTGGTCGATGGGGTTCTTGAAGTCAGTCCGCAGCTCGTCAAAGGCTATGATCTGGGGGAGGGGCGTGTGCCCGTCAGGGTTGGGGCAGCAGCTTATGGCCCTCCCACCCATTCTTCTCTGGTGTGAGATTCACACATGGGGATCGACCCAGATGAAGCTTGCTGCAAAGGTAGAGAAACTGAGGCCCAGAGGGATGGGGCCTGGCCCAAGGTCACACAACAGTTTGGGATGGAATCCTAGTGTGCTGATATCCACTTCAGAACATGTCTACTACACCTCCATCCAAAACATCCCAAGAGATAGTGTCTTGTCTGCAGGCCCTGTGCTGAACACTGGGCCCCAGAAACCCGGGACACAGCTCCTGTGTGGGAGGAACCCCAGGCTTAGAAGGACAACTGTGAACTACATTCCAGGGTGATCAGGGCTGCAGAGTACAGAACCCGGGGTGGGTGCCTGATCCAGCATGGGGTGGGGATGGGGAGTTCAGGCTGGACTCGGAGCAGGTGTTTGCCTGGTGCACAAATGGGGGGAAGGGCAGTCAGAACAGGAGGTACAGTGGCAGAAGTTTGGAAGAACAAGGAACATTCAGGAAGCTGTAGGTCCTATGGGGCTAGAGTGAAAGTGTAAGGCGAGTGGGAATGGTGAACGATGGGCTGGAGGGGTCAGCAATGCCAGATGTGGGGGCCTTGTAAGGCAGGACAAGATCTTTGGACTCGAACATGGACGTGCATGGGAGCCGTTGAGGGACAGAAAGCAGCAGAGCAGGGCTGTCAGGTTGATGTTCTAGGACTGAACGAGCAGGAAGTACATACTGGCTAACAATCCCAGCCAAGACATACACGATGCTTCCTTTATGCCAGCAGGCTTTATGTTTGATAACTCATTTAATGCTTGCAACAGCCTGATGATGTAGGAGCTGCATTATCTCTTTCATTTTGCAGATGAGGAAACAGATACATTAAATGACTTATCCAAGGCCACGTAGCTAGTTAGTGGCAAGCCAGGATTCTAAACCACTCAGATTCCAGAGTTAAAATTTTAAACACGTGACTATACTCAAGCCAGACCAGTCAAGGAACTTTGGATGTTTGGGGTGCAGGCTGGGTGCTGGGGGCAGGTAGGCAAGGCATGGTGATCTGAGTGAAGAGAGGGCAGTGCGGATGCAGAGGTGTGGATGGGCTCCAGAGCTGTATAGAAGCCAGACTCCGGAGGGCTTGAATGGCAGTGAAGTAGAAGCAAAGAGGCCTAAGGCGACTTTGGTTGTTGGAGCATCTGGTGGTGGGCACTGTCTACATTGGGATAGGAACTCTTCACGGAGCAGATGCTTCAGAGGATGACAAGATGGACCTGAGGGAAGCTGGCCTGGGAGGATGGCTGGCAAAGGAGCCTTCTGGGGTCCCCTCCCCTCAGCACCAGCCCCAGGATGAGGCAGCAGGCCCACCCCCCCAAGCATCCCAGACCCCATAAGGCTCAAAGCGAGAGAACATGGGCTTCCTGGAGGGAGCTGGGGCCATCTGGAGCAGCTCCCCCAATTCCCCCCCAACTCTGGGCATCCGTCTGCCTGTTAGGCACAGCAATGGGGTCCAGCAGGGAGCGGAAGGGTGCCGTCTGTCTGCCCCAGAGCTGGCACCACCAGCAGGCGGCGGGTGTCGCGCCTCCCACCCCCCAGGCTGCCTGGCGCTGACTCAGCCCCCTGGAACAAACAACCCCCCATGGTGACAGCAGACACACGTCACTCACCACCAGGGTTGCCTAGCGACCAGTGGGGCCTGGGTTCAGGGTCTGTGGTGGGATCTGGGGTCCTGCCCTGGAAGGTTCTAGTTCTTACCAATTTGGATTGAGGACCACACCTCCTCTCCCCACCCGCACACCCCTTGGCAAGCCTTGTCCTGGACTTACATACACGCAGCCTCGTGTACAAAAAGCCCACTTTACCAATGAGGAAATGGACCCAGAACAAGAGACTTGCTATGATTGCCCGGCTAAATAGCTGAGCGAACACAGTGCCTGACATGTAGTATGTACTCAATAAATATTTTTTGAGAACGCCTGGGCCCTTTTTTCCAGCCTGGGAGCCCCAAAGCCTGAGTCTTATTCATCCTAGTCTTCCCCAAAGCCACCCAGAGCCTGGTTCTCAGGAGCGTGGACACAGATGTGCTGAATGGAGGACTGCTCTGAGGACCCCCGGAGGACAGGGACCCCCACAGAGGCTGTGGGAGGCCTCTGGGTGGGGAAAGGCCCAGAAAGGGGCTTCTTGAATTCCAGGAGCCTTTCTTCCAGGAGCTGGTTAGTTCTGTGTGCCCAGCTCAATTCATTCCCGTCCTCAGGACTCCAGCCACCACCCCGCAGGACAGTCCAAGGCCCTGGCATGAGACAGAAGGCTCAGGGCGACCAAGAAGGACCCGGGGAGATGCAGGAAGAGAAAGAAACGGAGAAGGGGCAGAGGAGAGAAAATGCAACTGAGAGGCCCACAGAAAGAGGCACAGTCAGGGGGCGAGAGGGCGGCAGAGCGCGTGTATGTCTGAAGGTGCCTATGGGGGCTCACTCCTCACACAGGAGGGGCGCAGTCCGAGTCCACGGAATCCTGGTGTGAAAGAGACAGGCAGCAGGGGCGGACGCGGGAGAGACGGGTCCAGAGCCAGGGAGGACCACGGAGCAGGCAGGCAGCATGTCCCAGGAAAAGAAGGGAGTGATGAAGCGGGGAGACCCAGGGAGAAGCTGGTAAGGCAATGGGAAGGAAGAGGACGGAAGGGGGACTAGAGAGAGGGCTGGCAGGGGACAAAGCGATGACCAGGGAGGTGTGCACTGGACATACACGCAGGGGATGCGGAGCGAAGCGGGCCAGGGCCAAGATGCACAGGCCGTGCGAAGGGGATGGGGTGGTGGCCAGAACCTCAGGGGACAGAGGAGAAGAAAGGGCAGTAAAGAGGGGGGCAGGGGTCCCAAAAAAGACACTGGAGGCTGACTGACAGTTCTTCAGTGATGGAAGGGAGACAGGCAGAGGAGGAGAAGGCCCCAGAGAGTGGGGGAGAGGGACCCTCTCTCAGGAAAGGCAATCAGCATAAGGGATGAGAAAGAGACATTTCGAAGAGCCAGGTGTGAGGCAAGGCCAGAGGGAGAGACAGACCCAGAGAGACAGGAGACAAAGGGGAAAGTGGGGGCAGGAAGAGGAGGAAAGCTGGAAGTGCGGAGAAAACCTAGTGGGGGGAAGCCCAGACAGGAGGGGGCAGGGAAACCCAAGGTGAGCTGGTTAGATCTCTGGGGCTGCTTACAGCCAATCGATGCAGGGTCCCGGGTGGGGGTGGGGGCTTGTGGTGGGACGGGAAAGGGTTAATGGGCTCTGCGATCTGTGGGTCCTGTAAACAGATGCAGTTGCCATAGCAACCAGCTCCATCACTCTGGCTGGAAAAACCCACAAAGGGGGTGGGGAGAGCAGACAGACAAACTGCCCGATGGACAACGGGGGCGACTAAATGGTTGAGGGGGGGCGGGAAGCAGGAGGAGGCAAAGTAGCAAGAATCCCAGAATTTCGCCTCACACCCCAAGGCTGCATGGGGCAGGGGAGGGGGGTCAGGGACCCACTGACATATCCACAGACAGGCGGGGGCGGCGGAGAAAGGGGGGCCCCCCGGAAAGGAAGCTGATGATGGGGGGTGTTCATGGGGCGAACAGCAGCAGACTGATGGGCGATAGCGGAGAGAAGGCTCCAAGTTTCTCTGGGCCCTGAGACCATCCATCCTCGGCCTGGGCGCCACCCCCGCCCCAACCTCAGGGACACGTAAGCATGGACGCACATGCCCGGCATAGCCCCCTCTCCCCGCAACCACACAACGAACCCACCGCAGCCACACTCGGTCCGCTCAGACGGGCACACTGTTCTCACACGCCGGCCAGGAGGCTGCGCTGAGGTCTGAAGTGCAAAGCACTTGTCACCTTCCGTGAGAGGGGGCAGACACACCTGGCTTGAACCCAGAACAAGCCAGGAGAGGGGGCTGAGCCAGGCGGCTTTAGGGGACGCAGGCCGGTAACGAACGGGGCCGAGTCCGCAGGCCCGCCGCCTGCTCCAGCTGCGGCCCAACTCCCCATCCCGAGCCGCCTGTGTGGGTGTCGGCGGCGGCTCACCAGGTGCTCACTGATGGCCGCTGCCTCCCTCCCTGCCGGAACCGTGCTGGGCCCGTGGGGACAGACCACAGCAGCACAAGCAGGCAGCTCTCCTAGCTCCAGGAACTGGGTCAAGGACTTCCAACAGCAACCCTAGGACACACAGCCAGAGCCAGGACCCCCCGTGAAGTCTGCCAAGTCCAGAGCTCCAGTTCCATCTCCCCGCCCCAGGGCAGCCCCCACCACAGACCACACTCACAGACCACAACTTCCTTGCAAAAACCCTTGGCTCACCCAAGGGCCAATGGAAATTTATTTAATTTTTTGTCCTTTAAGTCTTTCCCCAAGTGGCTTTTCCTTGCAAAATGCCTGACATGACACCAGAAGGGAACCTGGGATGGGGGGAGGCACCCCAAGGGGCAGCCCAGGGACTTAAATACAAGCTGGAGGGCAGGGCACAGATGGGACAGGCAAGAGACAGCACGAGGGACATGGCTTCTCAGGTAGAGACCAAAGGTCTGTCTTTCTGCAGGAAGAAGCTGTGTCAGAGGGCGGAGGGCTAGAATCCTGGGTGAGAGGGAAGAAGTGGAGAGGCCCCCCCAAACCCTGGGTGGCACCCACATTCCCAGAGAAGTAGCGACAGGGGGTGAGGATCTGCCCTCACGGGCTCCAAGGGACGGATGGGGGGAGAATAAGCCGGACGTGCTGCCTCAGGGGAAGGAGGGGGTGCTGGCAGAGAGGGTTAAGGCTGGTACCCAGCCTCTGGCACGGTGGGCCTTCCGCCTCCGCCTGCCTTGGGGACAAAGGGGCACGGTGGGCAGGCAGCACATGGGCCTGGCTCTGGCAGGGTAGGGGGCGGCAGGAGCAGGCTCCCTCTGGGCTCAAGACACAAGCCCAGCGCAGCTGCCCGCCCACCTGCCCTAGATGTGCTCACACCCCAACGCAGCTGGACGGCTGGAGCTCTGAGTGTGGGAGGGGCGGGGGGCTGGGGAGAGTAGGCGGCTGGGCCCCTGTGGCCCCACGCCCGTCCTGAGGTCCAGCCCAGGGCCCTGGATCCCAGGGCCTTGGATGCCCTGGTCCCATCCTGGCCCCAGGTGCTGACTACAGGCAGGGGCAGTAGAGGCTAGGGAGGCCCTCAGCTCTCGGGGACGCAGGGCAGGTGCAGGGGAGAAGGAAGAAGTCAGGAGAGACCCGCTGCAGCATACGTGGGGGCGGGGAGACAGACAGACAGAGGGGCCCTCATCCCAAAGGTGTGTGGTGGGGTATCTTTTAAAGTCCCCGAGAGGCAGCAGCAGAGCAAGCCCGCACCCTCACCCCAGCCACAGGTCCTGGGTGTCCTCCCTGGGGGGCCTGGGGCTCAGGGCGGCAGGCAGATGGGCCAGAGGGAGATGGGGAGCCCAGGACACCCCCAAAGCCACAGATTCAAATGCCCCGGAGAGGGAGGCCCCTCCTGCCCCCTCCAGGGGCATCATCTGGAGAAGGTGCCCCCTCCTGTC